GTTAGGGTGGTGAGGCACTGGAATGGGTTGCCCAGGGAGGTTGTGAATGCTCCATCCCTGGCAGTGTTCAAGGCCAGGTTGGACGAAGCCTTGGGTGCCATGGTTTAGTGCGAGGTATCCCTGGCCATGGCAGGGGAGTTGGAACTGGATGATCTTAAGGTCCTTTCCAACCCAAACTATTCTGTGATTCTATGAAGACTCCTCTTCCATTCCTGCCCTCTATGTATTGAAGGCGATCTATCTACTAGGTAGCTCCTCATGCTGGAGGCCAGGACCTCCCTTGCTCCCAGCCTGCCAGACGTGTTTGGTCCTTTCCTTCTCCATTTACACTTAGCTCAAAGCATCCACTGCTGAGGTGTCCACATGGATTTGATTCTCCAAAAGCTTCATTGGAGCCTTACACATGTAAGACTCAAACCTGTGTGGAAGGATGATGTGCCTGTGCTCCGGCGGCACTGTCTTGAGTTTCTCACAGCACTGGCTCTCATAGAGCTTTAATGCCATAAATGAACAAGTCAGACTTGCATTTTCTTCTCCTCTTACTCCCTACTGTCTTCTCTCACCTTTTAACAAGTTGGAGCTATGGGTTGCTGAGGAAATTGGGAGAGGGAGTGGAAGATCAGGAGCTTCAACTTGTTCTTGTGGGAAAGCAGATGTAGCAGATGATGGTTTAAAGGGCTGTGTCTGAAGTATGTTATAGCTGGCTGGCACTGACCATAATCTCATTGCTGGGCTGATACAAAGTAATGTACGTTCCATTTTTTATATTTAATAGGAAAGTCTTGGATTACTTATTTAATAATAGGTTTGAGTATTTTCCTTCTAGGATCCTACATCTTACTTATTGCCAGAAGTATTCTGTTCTCTCTTCTAAATCCCTGGTAGTAATTCTCAGTTTAAATTTAGGCTCATTGTAAACTAAGGTTGTTCTGGCAACTACAAGCATAGGAGGTTATTTCTCTTGTGAGAAGTAGCTGGAGTATGGGGCTGCTGTAATTAATGGATGTATTTATGGCTTAAAGTTGTGTCCATGAGCGATCCAGATGTGTCTGATAGCAGCAAAGAGCTATTTGGAGTGTGTGATAGAACTACAAAATCCTGTATCAAATGTCCAATAAAGCTGAGAGTCTTTCATTAATGTAAATCTAAGCATATGTTAGCTTAATAGGCACAACTGTCACTACATCCAGCTTTCAGGTTTATAAGGACTGCAGCCAGGAATGAACTTGCTGTATAAACTAGTAAATCACTGGACTAATTCATGGCCAAGAGGGATATCTCAGTTGCAGGATACAGCATGTTTCCTAAAGGAAAGTGCTTCAGCTGAACCTTCGAACACTGCAGAGCTGACAGAGAGCAAATGTGTTGTTACAGCCCATTCCCCAGTTGTAAAGTCAAGTTGTGTTGGACCACTGCATTGTGGAAGCTTGGGAAGTCAGGAAGCCTGCTCCTTCTTGCAAACAAGACACGGCTGGTATTGCAAAGAAATCCTGTATTAGTGGTGAGGAAGTCCAAAGCATGGCAAGTTCTTTTTCCCTTCCAAGTCAGTACCCAGGTTGAATTGATTGGCAGAGCATCATATACTAGAATTGCTTTAAATCTTATAGCCAAGGTAGGAAGTAGGTTTTTTTTTAGTGGGGGAAGGAGATAGTTCTGTCAAACTTAAAAAGCCTTGAAGAATTACCCCAAATAGCCCAAATTTCAGCTACTTGGGATCTAGCATGTGGAGAGATGCTGAAGCTTTACCTACTGGGTCTTCCTACATCAAGTAGGGATGCAACCTTTGTTGGTCTTGCCTTGCAGTACTATAATGGGTTTGTATCTATCCCCTTAAACTTCCAAAGGAAGGGAGAATATCTTGTTTCCTCTTAATCTCCCCACCTCAGAAAAGAAGGTAATAGGAGAATGAAAGTAGAACAGCAGCTTCATGCATCTCTACCTCCAGTCTCTGAGAGTTGTAAGGAATGTTAATGCCTGCTTTGCTTTCCAGTTCTTTCCCAGGCAGCAGCAAACTCACCTGAGGTTGGACCATTGCACAGCAGCTCTTGGGGGCCCCCAGCAGCAGTAAATCTGTCCCACTTAATGTGCATGTTACCTCTGGTGCTGGCTGACAATGGCTGTGAGCTGCTGCAGAGCCACCAGAGCAGCCTGCTGACCCAGGGTGACGACACTGTTGGCTAAGCTATCCCTTGAAGAAGGCTTGAGGCTCTGCTCTCACTGGTTTGGCTTTCCTGACCGCTGAAGGAAGTCTGGAAGCAAGCCAGTGGCCTCTTAAAGCCCTGAATTAGTTCTTGAAGTGCTATGGAAGTGCTAATTTTAATAAGAAATAATAGCCCTCTTGAACAATGTAGGAAGAATCCTGCATTGGCTGATAGCACATTGGTTATGCCATCAGCTGGCTAATTGTTGTCAAGTACTAAAGCAATCCATAGAATCACAGAATGGTTTGGGTTGGAAAGGACCTTAAGATCATCCAGTTCCAACCCCCCCTGCCATGGGCAGGGACACCTCACACTGAACCATGGCACCCAAGGCTCTGTCCAACCTGGCCTTGAACACTGCCAGGGATGGAGCATTCACAACCTCGCTGGGCAATCCAGATTATATTCAAAGCACACGTTGTGCCAGCTTTAGGCTGTAGTGCTGGACTTGCATTCAGACTAGAAATGGGAAAAATCTGTGGTCAATTAGCAATGAAATTTCTCTCCATTCACTTACATATATATTTTAATGTAGATTTATGGCCTCAACTTGATCTCCATTCATGGGTACAATCATAACTGCCTCCACTACACTGTCTTGTGCATGCAGAAATGATGGCAGGGACCCCTTCCACTGGAGCAGCTTGCTCCAAGCCCCTGTGTCCAACCTGGCCTTGAACACTGCCAGGGATGGAGCAGCCACAGCTTCTCTGGGCACCCTGTGCCAGCGCCTCAGCACCCTCACAGGGAAGAGCTTCTGCCTAAGAGCTCATCTCAGTCTCCCCTCGGGCAGGTTAAAGCCATTCCCCTTTTGCTGATGTCACTTAGTTTGCATTCCTGTTGTTGAATAACCAAAGATTTCCATGTGGGGACCTTTCTGGCTGGAAAAGGGAGATTTTTGTTGGTAGCTGCTGGTTTTGTGACTTGAATCCCTAAAAGTTTTAATCTTGGAAGTTTTAACTTTGGATGTAGTCATAATCTTACTGTTAGCACTTTAAAGTTCTTGGAATAACAGTAAATGTACTGGGATTGAGTCAACCAGTATCAGTAAGTTCTTTGTCTTGTGTGTAAATGGTGTTAGTTGGCATCAAGGCAGCCAAGTTTAACTGGATGGTTTTGTTCTTTATGTTGCACGATCGATGTTTGGCTTAAAAAGAAAATAATTTCTTATTAAACCCAGGCTTGATTACTGAATTATTTTGTGTAGCAGCCTGTGTAGGTTAGGAATAGACCTTTATTTACAGATTAACTGAAGTATTCTAAACTATGTACTGGTTTGAGGAGTCAGTCTGAATTGATGTTTGTCCCTTATATTTGCCCAGAGAAGCTGTGGCTGCCCCATCCCTGGCAGTGTTCAAGGCCAGGTTGGACACAGGGGCTTGGAGCAAGCTGCTCCAGTGGAAGGGGTCCCTGGCCGTGGCAGGGGTTGGAACTGGATGAGCTTTAAGCTCCCTTCCGACCCAATCCATGACTCTATGAATGTTACTAACACTGTTTGTTCCCTGTTGCCCTTGTATCATCTCTTTGCTGTGTATTAGCTTGCTGAGCCGCTGTCCTCATACTGAATGAACCAAGATGTAATGTGTGCCATTAAGTTGGTATGCTGAGGGGAGATGCTGTGAGAAGTAGTAGTGCTTTGTGGTTACTCATATTTGAAGCATGTAGCCTGATTAGGCTGCATACATACCATTAAAAACCATTAGCCAAAACCTTTGAATAATAATCCTTATAAATCTGGAAGAGATTAAAGAGTGTAGAAGGAAGGAGCTGTGTATCCTCTTCTGTGCGCTCTCGTGCTTTGGTCCTTGGCTCACAGCAAATGTGTGACCTTACTTTAATAGAATTAAGCATTCCCATGAAGAGGGGTTAATTTTGAGTGAATGGTGATGGTCACTGAAACAACCTTGGCCTTTGCATTGCATCAGCCTGGCAAAGCACTGATACCATGTGGTAGGATACCTGTTTGGGGTTTTGCTGTTCTCATTAGACCTTAGTTATGTTCTTATCCCAGCAGCAAGGTTGTCTGAAGAGGATCCTTATAAAAGGAGAAGCCATTAATAGTGAAAACTGTGACTGGGAGGAGTAAGCCTGGGTGTACATGCCTTAAAAGACATTGTCTGCAGACCAACTCTCATTTTATTTAGTGAATACATTAATTTCTGCTCCATATTAATGCCTTTAATGCCTCTCTTAGACTGTGTTTTGCCACTGCTTTCCTCTGCCTGGTTTCTTTTTCCTCATAAGGCAAACAGTCTGTTTCCTTTTCACCCTAAAGTCAGGGTTAGATCAGAAACAGTCCTCATCTTTCACTCTTCAAGCATAGTTCAACTCAGAAAACCACATTTCTGTTGCAGAAGGGTCCATAGGATACAGGGAGATACTAAAGGCTATTTTGCGCTCTTGGCCTGGGCAGCTCTGTGTTATCTAAAGGATATTTGCACTTTTTAAAGCTGGGCTATATAACAGTGCCCATGGTAACTGTTGTGTCTTGATGTTAAGTGTTAGAACTTGATTACAGAGATTTCATGTCATGATTATCTGCTCTGTCACCTACAGCTTTGCTTATCAGCTTCTATTGTATTTAACAAACGAAAAGGAGATTTGGTGGTTGATCGTATTTAGGCACTTGCTGGTTTGCTTTGGCTACTCCTTCATGTGATGGTTCCTCCTCTAATGCTTCATTTCTAACTGGAAGCTGACATTGCATTCACGTTACTGCTGCTGGGTTTAAGGCAGCTGATGCATTCATCATGTGTTGGGGAACCTGTACTTCAGCCCTATCTTCTCTTTTCCTCACAGGCTTCACAGAGCCCAGTGTGCAATTAAACAGACTCAGGTAACTGTTCAGAAAATAGGAAGGGAGATTGAAGAGAAGCTGAGATGTACATCTACAAGCAATGAACTGGTGAGTTTGGGTGTTTAAAACCTTATTCTACGGGCTTGCTCTAGCATCTGGCTGGTGTTTTGACCATAAGCTTGTTTTTCTTCACACTTGACAGTCTATCTTTAAACCTGTCGTTTCAAATGGGAACTCCTCAGAGAAGCAGAACGGAATGGATTTGAGATTTGTGTCTGTTAATAAACTGTTTATCCTATTTCTACCTTTATTTTCTATAACTGCTTTGAAACTGTAAAAGCCTAAATACAGCACAGCGCACAGGAGAGGTTGATCAGGAGAACCAAACTTGGAATGATTTAGATAAATCTTGACAGGAACCTGTGGTGGATTTAGAGGGAGGTGAGTCTATTGCCAGTATCTTCTTGCACCCTGCTCCCTTTGGGTGAACGCAGTTCCTGCAGAAGCTGTCACTCAAGTGACACATTCATTTTAAGCAGGAATTGTATTAGATCTCACAATAGCTTTTGACAGTTTGTTTTGCCTGTTCTCTTCCCCTCTCCAAAAGCATGCATTGGCATGAGTTCCTGCTTTCTGCCCACAAAGGTTGAGCTCAGGTGCAAGCAGTGAGGTGATGGAACAAGAGGGGCTCAAAGTGACTGTGTGCAGTTCTGGTGTCCTCAGCATAAAACAGACATGGTGCTGTTGGAACAAGTACAGAGGAGGCCACAAGGATGGGCAGGGACTGGAGCAGCTCCTGTATGGAGACAGGCTGAGAGAGTTGGGGCTGTTGAGCCTGGAGAAGAGAAGCTGTGTGGAGACCTCAGAGCAGCTTCCAGTGTCTGAAGGGGGCTACAAGGATGCTGGGGGGGGACTCTTCATTAGGGACTGGAGTGATAGGACAAGGGGTGATGGGTTCAAACTGACATAGGGGAAGTTTAGATTGGATATAAGGAAGAAGTTCTTTACTGTGAGGGTGGTGAGGCACTGGAATGGGTTGCCCAGGGAAGTTGTGAATGCTCCATCCCTGGCAGTGTTCAAGGCCAGGTTGGACAGAGCCTTGGGTGACATAGTCTGGTGTGAGGTGTCCCTGGCCATGGCAGAGGGTTGGAACTGAATGATCTCAAGGTCCTTTACAGCCCAAACCATTCTATGATTCTATGACTTCATTATATTTGTCCTGACATGAGGCTGGTGCCTTGTCCAGGAACAGGCAAACATGGGATGTGAAGTTACTTTATTGCTGTGAGGTAGATTCTGGGCTGGAGCTAGATGATCTTTAAGGTCCCTTCTGTGGCCCTGCTGCCACACTGGTGCTGATAGAGGCCAGGATGCTGTTGACTTCTTGGCTGCCTGGGTGCAAACTCTTGTTCAGGTCCATTAATCAGGACCCCTAGGTCCTTTTCCATGAGCAGCTTTCCACAGTCAGAGCAGAGGAGATGCATCCCAGAGGAGGACACAGCTGAGTTTCTCTCCTTCCAAAGCAGCAAAATGCTTAAGGCCTGTGGTAATCTATGAACTCTGGCAGACACTTGTCTTGTCTTATTTTTTCCCTTCTCTCCTATCACCCCTTTTATGGAACTGTTTGTGTGCAGAAAAGCTGCTTTATTGTTTAAAATGTGTTTTTCTTCCAACAGAAAAAGGAGAGTGAATGTTTACAGCTGAAGATCCTGGTGCTACGCAATGAACTGGAGAGGCAGAAGAAGGCCCTTGGTCAAGAAGTATCCTTATTGCATAAGGAAAAAAGTACTTTGCATGACAGAGGTAAGTGTAAAACTGCTGCTATTGCAGGTATCCGTAATCCACTGATCAGAAGAGTAGCAGCCTTGCTGATGGTCACGGTCACCAACATGAAGGTGCTGTTTTAGGTTGTTTTTTTTACCTGGCTCTAACTTACTTCTGTTTATCTGAAGTTTGCAGCCAGATCCAGGCTCTTCACCATCTGTGTTATAATGAATCCTGGACAGGAGATTCTGTTCTGCTTCTGAAGAGCTTCTTACCATGACACATCTCTAAAGCAATATTGCAGCAGTGCTTAATTAAATTGTAATGGGAAAATCAGAAGAGCTGCACTATTAACACAGTAAACAGCACCGTGATGCAGGCACATTATCATGTCATAAGGGATGTTATCATACCTGTGATTAGGATCCCATTCTAAGTGTTAGAAGACAAATATCCCTCTTAATAGCTTATAATGTAAGTGAAAGGTGACGTGCTCAGTTGTCTTGGTGTTTCCTTTTACTGGGGAAGTGTCCTGTAGTGGTAAAATCTGTGTCAGTGTCTCTTTGGAGCTCACCAGAGACCAAGCTACAGGGATGTTTGATCTTCTTCCAGGGCTTTTAAAACTTAACTGAGTCTACAGTAATTAATCACTACTAAAAATGAGGGGGGGTTGTCATTTACTTCTTCCTCTGAAGAAAGATGGAGAGGGGTTTTTTACAAGGGCCTATAGGCTTGTTGGAGTGAGGCCAGAGGAGGCTATGAAGGTGCTGTGGGGGCTGGAGCAGCTCTGCTCTGGAGCCAGGCTGAGAGAGCTGGGCTGGGTGAGCCTGGAGAAGAGAAGGCTCCTGAAGGGGAGACCTGAGAGCAGCTCCAGTGCCTAAAGGGGCTGCAGGAAAGCTGGAGAGGGGCTTGGGACAAGGGCCTGTAGGGCCAGGCCAAGGGGAATGGCTTGAACCTGCCCGAGGGGAGACTGAGCTGAGCTCTTAGGCAGAAGCTCTTCCCTGTGAGGGTGCTGAGGCGCTGGCACTGGGTGCCCAGAGAAGCTGTGGCTGCCCCATCCCTGGCAGTGCTCAAGGCCAGGTTGGACACAGGGGCTTGGAGCAAGCTGCTCCAGTGGAAGGGGTCCCTACCTATGGCAGGGGTTGGAACTGGAGGAGCTTTAAGGTCCCTTCAACCCAAACCAGTCTGGGATCCTACTAATTTCTCCACTACTGTGGACATGAGGGGAGCAGGTGTCAAAGAAGAATGAAGTTATATTGGGTGTCTTTGGCTGGTGAATGGTGTGTAATGCATGGAGAAGTGTTCCTCCTCGACTGCCATTCCCTTGTTGGCAGCATCACATGGAAAACAGGCATCTAAAAGTATGTGGAGGGTTATTGCCAACATTTGTGTCAGTATCTACATTTATAATACTTCAGATAGCCAAGAAAATATTTGATACTATTTTTTTTTCCCTGATTCCTCATGTTTAGGAAATACATTTGAGAGTGAATACCAGAAACTTCAAGAGCATAATGAATCCCTGCATGAATTAAGAAAGGAATGCACTGCCAAGAGGTAACAGGACCGATGCCTTTTCTGCTCTTGGAAAGGAAATACAAGATTGAGAGCAGGCCATTTGGCTCCTGGCACCAAATTCTTCCCAATGTCACCCCAAAACCTCTGTTCAGACATATCTGCTATGATTTGTAGGTATCTAAACTGACAATTGAGAGTGGCAAGTCTAGAAGAGAAGAAAACGGATGCTTGGTTGCATGTGTAGACTATGTAAAGAGTTTTAGGTCTGTTTTAGTGTAACAGAACTTTAGGAATTAGTTGTCATAGGCAAAATATGCTTATATGAGGTACAAGTGAAAATGCAAAGTTACCTTCGTGTTCTCCATTTTTATTGGGATGGAATTGCCTTGCTTTTTTGGGAGAGGGGAGGTGGTGCTTGGGAAGATGCAGAGGGAATGTGATGGTTTGATACCTTTACTTAAAGCTTTTTGTAGGAACTAATGGGTTTGGGATCTCTTTCCCCAAAGAGAACTGTTTCTGAAGACACACGCCCAGCAGACTATTCGATGCAAACAACTGCTGTCAGAGCTCTCCTACATCTACCCTATTGATCTGGTATGGTTTTGACATTCTGCTTGATGGGAAATGAACCTCCTATTTATCACACTGTGAGCAAATACCACATTTTATTCATGATGAAACTTGCACTTCACTCATGCTGGTCTTTCCCAGCTTTACCTTGGATTTGGTCCCTGGATTGGAACTTACGGGAGGAGGACTTGTGCCAACATCTCTCAAATAGTCTCCACTACAAGAGCAGAATAGCTGTATTTTAATGGATGCTTTCCATTCTGTTTACCATGATATAAAGTAACCCTGACAGTAAACTAGCTGAACTGTAATGGAGTGCACATAACAGATGTCAAAGTAGAGCTCCAAAACCTTTATATAATGAAGCTCTCCCTTTTTCTATACAGCGTTTATTTCCATATTATGTAAAACATGGACTAAAATACAAACTCACTCCGAGTTTAGTTGAATATTTAGTTTCTTCTGTCAAAAAATGCTTTGTTGTGATGGTTTTTTTTTGTGCAGGTTTCTGTGTTCTGGGTGTTCCTTTTCCATTCTCATTGTTGGTTTTTAACCTTGCAGAATGATCAGAAGGATTACTTTGTTTGTGGAGTCAAGCTTCCTAATTCTGAAGACTTTCAAGGTAGCTGCATGTTCTTAATTCAGTTGTTACAGTTGATGCTGCTGCTGAACTTCATGGAATTAAGTAAAGTGATAGGAATGGCTTATGATGCAGATACCTGGCTGAAAAGGGACTAGAAGTAAACTTATGCATCATTTATTCCTAATTCCTAGTACAAAGAGGGTTACTGTTGATGCTTAGAAAAGTACCTCAGTATTCCAAGTCTCAACACTGGGACACTGGAGCAGGTTACCCAGGGAGGCTCCAGAGTTTCCATCTGGAGTCTCCATCCTTGAGGATGCTCAGAACCCAATGGGGTCATGCACAGCCTGCTGTAGCTGATCCTACACTGAGCAGGGTGGTAGGACTATGCAGTTTCCAGAGGTGCTTTCCAGATGGAGGGATGCTGGATAATGCTTGTCTGATCTAAAATTCCATTGTGGCTACTCGCAGTCCATAAACCTGGATTGGGACATCGTGCATGAATCCCCATTCAGTTTGCTGTAGCTGCTGGTGAGCTTACCAAATACATACCTTGCATAAGGAAGACTTTAAAGCTGGAGTATGTGGAGTATTTTAGAAGTCAGCTTCTAGTTTAACTGTCTGTACTCTTCCTGTTGCAGAAGCAAATCTGTAATATACCTTTCTGAGTAACAGTTGTACAGGTGACTGCATGAGGGTGCTGAGGCACTGGCACAGGGTGCCCAGAGAAGTTGTGGCTGCCCCATCCCTGGCAGTGCTCAAGGCCAGGTTGGACACAGGGGCTTGGAGCAAGCTGCTCTAGTGGAAGGCTTTTGGAGCAACCTATTGCAGGGTGGTGGAACTGGATGATCTTAAGGCCCTTTTCAACCCAAGCCATCCTATGGTTCTAAGTTAGGCTCTCAGAGCTCAGTATGATTTCATAGTTGTGGCTGAACATCACTGTAAGCTTCTTGGAGAGTCCTCTGTACAGCTGATTTCACAGGACTCCCTTGTGCCTTAGAAAGGGTGATTCTCACATTGTTTGTATTGGTATGTTCACTTATAAAGAACTAAAATAGAGCAAATAGAAAGGAAAAGCCCTCAGAGGCTGAAGGCTGTAATTTGAATTGCCAGACCCATGTGTATTCCCCCTCAGGTGAAACTTCAAGGTTGCAACCTTAAATGTCCAATTGAAAATGATACTTTAAACCAATGGGTTAATCTAAGTTCTTGCAGTTATTGGCAGAGAATAGATTTCATACCCTGGGGTCGGTGTGTCTCCAACTGATCTCACTAATGAATGGAGTTTGGAGGAATGCAGCTTTCCCTGACCCTGGTCATACATGTCAGCTCCACCTCAGACATGCATAAAGCTTGAGGCTTCAGTTTTGTCTTGGGGATTTTGTTTTGCTTTTCCCATTTCTTCTCCACCCTCCCCTACTCAGCAAGTGTTGAAGAGTCATATTTAGCTTTGAAAAGTGGAATATTGGAAGGAGAACAAGTTATCCCCCATTTTGTATTGCTCTTTAATGGAAGAGGCAAATGCAGTGAAGTGCAAGCAACTGTAAAACAGCCTAAATTTCAGTCTTGAACCTCTTCTTCAGTTATAACTTCTGACAGCTTCATTATTGTATTGTTCTCTGAGCAATAATAATACCTGAAGGGGCCTACAAGGATGCTGGAGAGGGGCTCTTCATCAGGGACTGTGGTGATAGGACAAGGGGTGATGGGTTCAAACTGAAACAGGGGAAGTTCAGGTTGGAGATAAGGCAGAAGCTCTTCCCTGTGAGGGTGCTGAGGCGCTGGCACAGGGTGCCCAGAGAAGCTGTGGCTGCCCCATCCCTGGCAGTGTTCAAGGCCAGGTTGGACGGAACTGTGGGTGACATTGTCTAGGGTGAGGTGTCCCTGCCCATGGCAAGGGGTTGGAACTGCAGGATCTTAAGGTCCTTTCCAACCCAAACCGTTCTATGACGGACTTGCACTCAGCCTACACTCGGATTCAGTTGATTTATTTTAATAATGGAATCCTTTTGTTCTTGACAGCAAAAGATGATGGAAGCATTGCTGTTGCCCTGGGCTACACTGCACACTTGGTGTCAATGATATCGTACTTCTTACAAGTGCCACTCAGGTATCCAATAATCCACAAGGGCTCCCGGTCTACGATAAAGGACAACATCAATGACAAACTGACGGAGAAAGAGCGAGAGTAAGTATGTTATAAATATGCTTATGTCCTTTATCAGAATGATAAAACCCCCTTGAACAGTTCTGGGTAGTGTGAAAGGACACAGAGTTTCAAGTTATTACTGGGGCTGTTCAGCCTGGAGAGGAGAAGCTGCATGGAGACCTCGGAGCAGCTTCCAGTGTCTGAAGGGGGCTGCAAGGATACAGAGAGGGACTCTTCATCAGGGTCTGGAGTGATAGCACAAGGGGTGATGGGTTCAAATTGAAACAGGGGAAGTTCAGGTTAGATATAAGGAAGAAGTTCTTTACTGTGAGGGTGGTGAGGCACCAGCACAGGAGAAGCTGTGGCTGCCCCATCTCTGGCAGTGTTCAAGGCCAGGTTGGACACAGGGGCTTGGAGTAAGCTGCTCTAGTGGCAGGGAGTTGGAACTGGGTAAGCTTAAAGGTCCTTTCCAAACCAAACCAGTCTGGGACTCTGTGATCTAAAACCTAGTAAAATTAATACTTTGTTTTAACACGGAGGATTTTAATCAACTGAAAAAGAGCGGTGTAAGCTGTTCCCTACTACAAATCAACTTAATTCTCAATGAGGAGTGTTTAACTTGTTCTGTAGTCATTGTCTTTCAACATGTAGCTATGCTATTGTTATTGTTATGCTACTAGGAAACAGGGTCCTGCTGTCCTTAAATTCACTCTCCACATCCTTTCTCCTGTGTTTTGGCACTTTGCCTCTTTCCCTCTGTCTTTGCACCTGTGTGCTCTAATGTGAAAGTAGCTGCAATTGTTGGTTAAGCTTTACTTTAAAGCCTGAAACCACAGAATTCAAAGGAACTCACTGCTGACCATCTGTCAAGGCCAGGTCTCATCCTGTCTGTGTGGATGGTGACAGGGTCAGGAACTTTGTTATTCCATAGGAAAGGTTTGAAAAAGTAGGAAAGGAAATGGCTGAGGGGAAATGGATTTTTGGAAAGGAGCTGTGTGTGACACAGAACCCCTCTTCTCTTTGGAAATATGCAAAAAGGAGCTGTGTGTGACACAGAACCCCTCTTCTCTTTGGAAATAAGCAATCAAAGTATTACATTAATTCCTAATGGTCCAAATCAAGTTGGAAGGGTCTTATTGTGCACAGTTGACAGGATTGGGATGCTTGGAAGTGTCTGATTTCTCTTTGAAGCTTAGTGACCATTGACAAGCAGACCCTTGAGTTGAACTCACTGAGGTCTTCCTGTTCTGACACAATAGGACTATAGAATGATGTCTTACAAATGAATTCTGATACCATTTTAAGAACTTGTCCAAACACTTCCTGGGCAACTTACCATGAATCTGGTTTGCTTCAGTGTAGTTCTCTTTGCATATGACCAAACTCTTTCCTGTTCTTAGGCCATTTCTGTCTCTGCTCTCGTGAGACCTCACTGGGAGCATTGTGTGCAGTTCTGGTGTTCTCAACATAAAGAGGACATGGAACTGTTGGAACAAGTCCAGAGGAGGCCACGAGGATGATCAGGGGCTGGAGCTGCTCCTGTATGGAGCCAGGCTGAGAAAGTTGGGGCTGTTGAGCCTGGATAAGAGAAGCTGCATGGAGACCTCAGGGCAGCTTCTAGTGTCTGAAGGGGGGCTATAGGGATGCTGGGGAGGGACTCTTCATCAGGGACTGCAGTGATAGGAAAAGGGGTGATGGGTTCAAACTGAAACAGGGGAAGTTTAGATTGGATCTAAGGAAGAAGTTCTTTCCTGTGAGGGTGCTGAGGCACTGGAATGGGTTGCCCAGGGAGGTTGTGAATGCTCCATCCCTGGCAGTGTTCAAGGCCAGGTTGGACAGAACTGTGGGTGACATGGTCCAGGGTGAGGTGTCCCTGCCCGTGGCAGGAGGGTTGGAGCGTGATGATCTTAAGGTCCTTTCCAACCCTAACTATTCTATGATTCTATCTGGAAAACAGATTTCAGAGGAGTGGAGCTGCCTGTGTGTGGGTGTAGGAAAGATTAAACCAATTTCCTGTTGTCTGAGACAGATTGGAAGGTTTAGTCCTTCAGGCCGTAGCCTCCCAACCCCTCCTCACTTAATGTTTCATTTCACGGTAGGTTTCTGCAAAGGAGAAAGTTTTTAGCTAAGTCTCTGAATCCCTTTGGGGCCATTTCCTTGTGTTCTGCAACACTTTAGTCAGGATTAGCTCCTGCTGAGATCTTCTGTTCCCGGCTTTTGGAGAGTCAGTCCCCCCATCTCTCAAAGGACTTGGCTAGCTATAGAAAACCTCCAAAGGCTTAACTTGCACTTTTCATTCCAGACTAATAGCTCATGTTTCTCACCTGCTCCTGAGCTGAATTGAACACAGCAATTAACAGCCATTAGTAAAAGTCTTCCTTTCAGTCACCTGCCATTTAGCAGCTTTTCAAACTCCAGCCTCAACTGTTGAGTAACTGTAGTGAGGTTTTCTCTCTGCTGCATGATGTTGTGTTGTAGTCAAACTGATTATTGACTGGGTTAAACGTTTTTCTTGGCTTTATACTTCTTTTGGACTCCAGGGTTGCCCTGAGATCCATATTAAGAGCTTCTGAGTACTTTGGGGGCCTCATAGCAGCCTTCCAGTATCTGAAGGGGGCTTATAAGGATGCTGGTGAGGGACTCTTCATTAGGGACTGGAGTGATAGGACAAGGGGTGATGGGTTCAAACTGACACAGGGGAGGTTTAGATTGGATCTAAGGAAGAAGTTCTTTCCTGTGAGGGTGCTGAGGCACTGGAATGGGTTGCCCAGGGAGGTTGTGAATGCTCCATCCCTGGCAGTGCTCAAAGCCAGGTTGGACAGAGCCTTGGGTGACCTGGTCTAGTGTGAGGTGTCCCTGCCCATGGCAGGAGGGGTTGGACCTGGATGATCTTAAGGTCCTTTCCAACCCTAACTATTCTATGGTTCTAAAAAGACATACATTGGAGGAATAACTGATCTCTTTACTAGAGAGAATTCTATAAGTACACGTGTTTGTTTCTACTGTTATACTGGATAAATGTCTTGCTTCACTGTAAGGTTTCTTTACCAGTTTTTTCAAGCCCTTGTTATAAGCTGGTTAAACATTCTGAGAGCTTTCACAACATAAGTTACTTTATCTGCTTCACACCTGTATTCTTGGATGCTCCAGGTCATTTCAGTGTCAAAGTTCTTGTAGGAGTATTATGTTTGTCTGCTGCAGTTACTGTTAGACCAGACCTGAAGAGTGTACAAATGAAGCAGGAGGCTCTGGTGAGAACTTAAGCACTTGTCACATGAGTGCAGGTAGAATGAGGCGTAGAATACCTGCTGGTAGCATACAATATATGGTCAGCTTTGTAACTGCAGAGATAGTGGTGTTTATAATCTATTCAATAACTGTTCCCTTCCTGTATTCCATAAAATAGCTCTGGTGCTATTACAAGGCTGTTTCCCTCATAAATCTACTTTTGTGACTTTCTGAACCACCAAATTAAGGCAGGAACATGCTTTTTACTAAATATCTCATTAATGCACTTTTTCAGTGATCCTCTTCCACATTTCCAGAGTGTATCAAATATGTAGGAAGGAAAGAGTATTACTGCTTAGAAGTTCTGGAGCCAAGATTTCAAAGCATATGAGTGTGCCCTTGGTATGTTTGAGGTGATACAGAGCTGGGTGGGAGTGTTGATGTGCTGGAGGATAGGAAAGCACTGCAGAGGGATCTGGACAGGTTGGAACTGTGGGACAAAGCCAATCATATGAGGTTCCACAGAGCTTAGTGCTGGGTCCTGCACTTGTGTCACAGCAACCCCATGAAACACTCCAGGCTTGAGGAATTGTGGCTGGAAACTGCTCATGGAAAAGGCCCTGGGGGTGCTGATGGATGGAGCTGAACATGAGCAGCTTGTGCCCAGGGAGCCCCCAGCATCCTGGCCTGGATCAGCACCAGTGTGGCAGCAGGGCCAGGGCAGGGATTGTGCCCCTGCACTGGGCACTGGTGAGGTTGCACCTCGGATCCTGTGTTCAGCTCTGGGCCCCTCACTCCAAGAGGGACATAGAGGTGCTGGAGCATGGCAGTCAGGTGAAGTTCCTGACGACTGGAAAAAGGGAAATATAACCCCCATTTTCCAGAAGGGGAAAATGGATGACCCGGGGAATTACAGAGCAGTCAGTCTCACCTCTGTGCCTGGCCAAAATCCTGGAGCAGATTCTCCTGGAAGGCATGCTAAGGCACATGGAAATCAACAAGGTGCTTGGTGACAGCCAGCATGGCTTCACTGAGGGGAAATCCTGCCTGACCAATTTGGTGGCCTTCTATGATGGGGCTACAGAACTGATGGACAGGGGTAGAGCAGTTGATGGCATCTACCTGGACTTGTGCAAAGCGTTTGACACTGTCCCACATGACATCCTTGTCTCTAAATTGGAGAGACATCAATTTGATGGATGGAGCACTCGGTGGATAAAGAACTGGCTGGATGGCCGCACGCAAAGAGTTGTGGTCAATGGCTCAATGTCCTGCTGGGGACCAGTAACGAGTGGTGTCCCTCAGGGATCGGGGTTGGGACCGGTCTTGTTCAACATCTTCGTCGCTGCCACGGACAGTGGGATTGAGTGTGCCCTCAGCAAGTTTGCCGATGACACCGAGCTGTGTGGTTCGGTTGATACCCTGGAGGGAAGGAATGCCATCCAGAGGGACCTTGACACGCTTGTGAGGTGGGCTGATGCCAACCTCATGGAGTTTAACCATGCCAAGTGCAAGGTCCTACACCTGGGTGGGAGCAATCCCAGGCACAGCTACAGGTTGGGCAGAGAAGAGATTCAGAGCAGCCCTGCGGAGAAGGACTTGGGGGTGTTGGTTGATGAGAAAATGAACATGAGGCGGCTTCAGTGTGCGCTTGCAGCCCAGAAAGCAACCGTATCCTGGGCTGCATCAAAAGGAGCATGACCAACAGGGCGAAGGAGGTGATCCTGCCCCTCTGCTCTGCTCTTGTGAGACCTCACCTGCAGCACTGTGTGCAGTTCTGGTGTCCTCAACATAAGAAGGACATGGGACTG